AAAAGATTATGTTGCGTATATGTATCGCATGGAATAGATGGCTATATTCAGCATTACAGGTATACAGAGGTGTTTTTATCTATTTTTCGAAAAGACCGTATGTCAGAAAATAGCATTAATATAATGGATAAACTTAGCCTAAAATATCCTTTCATTTGATAGAAACAAAATTTTTAAATTATAAAGAAAAAATTAGTAAGTTGTGGAGAGGTATGTTTAAAATTCTAACATTAAAAAAGATAAAAATGCCGTTATATATAAAATATTCTTCAAACTATTACATTTTTACTCAGAAAGTTTTTTCTATCTCTTATACTTTTGATGGTACACTTTTCAAGAGAAAAATACTGATTTTTTTTCAAAATGGTGTTTCATCCCCTAAGAGTCCGATTGGGTACGTATAAAAAAATATGTATTCTTTATTTTGGTCCGAGTTACAATATATTTCAAGCCCATCCAAATCGGAGAGGGATACTTACTTCTGTTTTCTTGTAAGAATATATACAAATTAGGTTCATACATTTTTGCAGCAGTTGTAAAGCAGCTTTCTCTGCTGAACGTAGACAATGCTACAGAATAAATAGTCTCCCCTTCTGTAGTTCTCTCATTCACATTTATATTATCTTGTGCCCGCAGCATGTTCCCTAATGCTTATACATCGTTCAGAACTTTAGTGTATTCGAAATATATCGTAGCTAATTTTTATGTATTATTCATAATATATACTTGTAGCATCTATTTATTCATATTAAGTTACTTATATTGAATTTATCAGCTTCGCATTGAGTCGTAAATAAGGTAATAAATCTTTCTTCTATTAACACATAATCGTTATTACCATATAAAAAAATTTGAGAATTTTATAAATTATTCTACAAGTGAAACAAATTTTTAAATATATGGAAATAAACTAATCCCTAAACAATTGGAAATACTTATCCTGATTATTAAACATTTTAACCCAATATTTGTATATAATTATCATTTTAAAAAATTAGTCATTTATGAAATTTTTACGGCGATGTAGTTATGATGATTCTTTAATAAACATTTTATAACCTATACACAATGTCCTATAATACGCGTTCATTATTTACACGATATTATTCCTCATGAAAATTTTTAGAAATTTTCTTTTGACGAAAATGTTAAATGAGGTTCTAATTACTTCTCAATTAAGTCTTAGATTAAAATTCTGCCGAAATAAAGTTTATTTGAAATTAATCGAAGAAAATAATTTCGTTACCTATGTGAATGTTCGAAACTTATTTCACGAAAAATTTTGCTTTTACGACCATTGTATCTTGGAAATTTTTATATTTTTGTTAGAAAAAAGATATTTTCACATAAAAAAAATAGTACTATGTAAATAGTGGCGCGAATTATGTATGCTCGATATTTTTACTCACTGAAAAATCAATGTCGTTTTTACTAATGATATGAACGTGTTTACGGCAATTAATCAGCCAGTGTCTTAAATGCAATTGCACATGATATGCTGTCAACTCAACTGACAGATTGCAGGATAATATGCGAACCGAATTGTTGTGAATTTCGTCGACATGCGGTGTCATTAAAAACAAATAAAGTTTATGGCGCCGATGTAGGAAATAACGAACCATCCAACTGGGTGGTCCTGTTGCGAAGCTAACTTTTGTTACTCTTTATTAAATCGTAATGGTAGTTATGTGCGATTCAGCATAATACAATTCGAACATTACGATGAAAAAATGAGCACATAGTTGTAAGTCGAAAAAAGAAAAAGATTCAAAATGGTGCAACTTGATAACAACAAAAACGAGCAATGAATATACCTGGAAGCGAGATGTCATGAAAAAAAATCTGGTTCGAATCAATAATTCGAACTCATAACCGACTCGTCAATGCTCAATAACTGCATTTATCATCAAAAAATTCTCTCTCTCTCTCTCTCTCTCTCACTCCCTCCCTCCCTCTCACCCTCTTTCTCTTTCTTTCACTTTCTCTCCCTCTTACATGTAGATTTCTGCAATAGTACAAGTGAACAAGAGGCATGTCCATAATTGGGTCTGCTGCGAGCGAAAGGGTTAACGCGTAGCGTTTGGGCCTTGCACGGCCTAACTACTTGACGTAACGAGCTACATTGCGGCATTAGCATATCGTTACGACGATTGCACGTCAGTGCAGGCATATTAATATATTACGAGGATGATGACACGACGGTGCTTGCGTACAGCAAGGAGTTCTTTCAAGGACACTGGATCGGCGTGCGTATTCATCGGAAGAAAAAAATGAAAGATGAGAGAATATTATTAGTAACGCTCCAGATGAACGTGGGCCCTTGCTCACATACGCGACGCTACCGACAACGATGACGACAACGGCGACGTCGTGAGCACAACAAAAGAAATCGAAAGGCAGGATTTACGGAGCGACTGGACATGTTGAATCTCGCTGAATAATCAACGAACAATTGGTCAATTTTCAAAATAGGGACGACGTTGACTCGTTCTACACATGTTTTTTCGTCACAATACTAATGTAAAGACGTTTCTAGTAATCCAATATTTTATTAATAAGCTTTTTGCAAAAACTTAACACTTTTGGCTCTCAGTACCTCTCATAAAAGCTTAAATATAATAAAAAATAAATATTGAAAAATAGAAAATATATATAGAATTATTAACGAATATTATACATGATATATGATACATAATTTATGAATATATATATATATATTATACGTTTATTTATTTGTATTTATATATAATTATATCATATATGTATTTTTTAATATATTAACATTATAAAGATGTAACACATGTAGGATATAATGTGATAAAAGATAAAATGTATTATATTAGGTTTGTTATATACGAAAATAATTATGATTTTAACGTCTTATATCGAGTATAAAGACGCATATATCGGTTAAAAATTATATTTATTAATCGAAATAAAAACCTTGACCTGCATACATTTCTTCCAACGGGAGACAAGTTGTTTATTCCTATAAGATAAAAGATAAGATAAGTTTATTCCTATAAGATAAAATTCTGGAAAAAATAACGGTAACTAGAAAAATCGGCGTCAAACTTAAAATGATAAAAACCGGAATTATTTTTACACCAATCTAATATATATATTTTTTTATTGTATTATATATATTTATATATCTATATAAATCTTTCATTCTTTCCCTATTTTTTATATATCTGTATAACTATATACTATACAAAGTGTTCATTTGAAAACTTTCCAGCTAATTATCTCGAAAACATCAATTTTTTATTTAGAGCGTGTTCTAGGTCATTTGAAAATCAATCTTGTTTTTTTAAATGGAAATCTATATTTTTATTACGGGATATTAATCTACGTAAAAAAACCAGCAACTTCTGTAAGAAATATTTTTTTGTCTGAGCACTATGTTAGTATTAGAAGATATTTAAGAAAATAGTAAGGCACAGTTACTACATCAAATTTGTCATTTATTATAACAGATGTTCAAAATGTTCAAATGAACACTTTAGAAGGTAATATAGCTGCTATTCTACAAGCACACTGATCTTCTGCTGCATAAATAAAAATAATTTCAATTCGTTCTTCTAAAGAGCACATCATTTTATAAAGTTTAATTATGTGATATCCCTTTAGATAATCTCTGATACAAATTTCACACTTGACTGAATAATACACTGTGAAAGACAGAAAGGAAGTAATTCAGTACAACATAAACAAATGGCCAAAAGAGGTTAACTTTGTTTTCGAAAGGTACATGTTAGTACAATCGAGAAATATCAACGATTTGCGTCAAAGAATTGTACAGCAATGTAGAGCTATTCCAACAGATACCTTCCAAAGTGTTCGTTCAGAATTTCAAAATCGTCTTTATTATTGTTTAGCAAACAACGGAGAACATTTTGAACATCTGTTATAATAAAGGACAAATTTGATGCAGTAACTATACCTTATGTACTATTTTCTTAAGTATCTTCCAACTAGTGCTCAGACAAATGTTTTCTACAGAAGTTGCTGGTTTTTTTACGTAGAATAATATCCCGTAATAAAAAATATAGGTTTCCATTTAAAAAAACAAAGTTGACCTTTGAATGACCTAGAAAACGCCCTCCAAATAAAAAACTGATAATGCCATTCTCGTTGCCCTTCAAAATCATGGAACGTGTTTTAGCTTTTTTTAATATCTTTCATAGTTTTCAAGATAAATAGTTGGAAATAGTTGGAAAGTTTTCAAATGAACCTGTATATATTTTCTATTATATATATACGTGTATATATATAATAGAAAAAATATATGAAATATTTTTAGATGTCGTATCCTTCCCTCTCTCCCTCTCTCTCTCTCTCTCTCTCTCTCTCTCTCTCTCATCCTCTTCTTCCGCCGATAACCCCTATTCGCAACAGCATCCTCTCACGCGGTCCTGCACGTCTGGTTGCGGAAACGAGCAAGCGATCGCACTCGTTCCCGTGGACCTGATCGTGGACTCATGTGGCGTCCGCCGTAGGTCCTGCGGCTTAATTAAGTCTCAATTGCCTAATTAGTCCGCTCGAAGAAGGCGAGCAGCGGCGCGCCGTGCGGGCTGTCCCACGCGATGAAGTAATCAGCTTTCTCCGCGGCGGCGTAGACGCGCCGCGTACCGCGCCAATCCTCCGGCTCCGCTACGCTCGTCTTCTCTCGTCCTCCGCTCCTTCTGCACGTACTCTCTTCTCCTTCAGCCCGAAATCGCGCACACTGCTGCGCCGGGGAACAATGGGAAATAAAGCGCGATCTTTCCACATGCGGGGTCTCTCTATGTGAACTAGAGTACATTCGGCCGCGGTCTCTTATACTTGCTGACGCTGTCCGAGTGAAGAATTCCCCCGAATACTCTCCACCGTGTTCCCTTCGCTCTCGTTTTGCCTCCTCTTCGACGCCGGCGGCGGTGGCGACGGCAACGGTGGTGGTGACGGCAGGAAACGGATCCTCTCCTTGTGGAAGCGGAGAGATAGAGAGAGCTCTCTATATAAGTACCGGTATGCTCACCGAAACGTCACCATATTTCAGCATTCAGTCCGGTGTGCTCCGCTTCCTCTTGACACGAGTGCGCCCGTTCGACGCGTCGTCTCGCACCACCACCGCCATCCACCCCCGCGAGATCACCATCCCTTAAGATTCCATGGATTCGGTAGTGCGACAGGTAATACGATTGTTGGCGCAGCAACAAGGGTGATATCGTAGGCGATAGTATCGCCGGTACTTACTCGCGACCTGATAGATCGATCGATTTCTGCACTCGGTTGTATCGATATTTTCTCCCTCCATTGAGAGGCTCTCTTGACCTACCGTGTGATCGTACTGCGGGTGTGTTTCTTTCGGGGCGGTTTTCTTCATGGCGTCTGGAGTGTGCTTTCGACGATCGAAATCGTAATGTTCCCGTAAATCACCGACTAACAGCGTTTGTGGTCGTTCAATGTGACGCCGGCTGTCAAATTGGAAATGTGAGAAAAGTATTCTTGATCATTTTCTCGTGTGCAAGATTAAGACTACACGAGCATTTGGATTATTGTGGAAGCTAAACGTGATTAGCAATGAGATTTTCAAGTAATTTTGATTTACATCGACTTTTTATTAATCTTGTATTAGATCATGTATTAATTCTTATTAGTTGTATTGTATGATATTAATTATTATTAATCGTATGATATATTATATCGTGCAATTTTCAATCATATTACTTGTCAAAACTTCATGTCTCACTTACATTCATGTTCTGTTAAATCTTGGATTAAATTTTGGATTTCTGTTAATTTCTTTTAAATGTTGTATATTTTAAAAAAGTATCAGCAAAAACATTGTTGCTTTGAGATTTATGAGTTTAAACTCTTTATGACGTAGAAAAATGCCCAAAATCCGGGTAAATAACAGCAAATGGGAAAACAACGAAACCGTAATAAGAATACCGTAAAATAAGGGAAACATTATGTTTTTAAAATGCAATACGATGTAACAAATGTTAATAGTTGTAATGCTCACTGACATCACTGTTATTATGATAATAATTAATTTACATACTCGAATGATGATACTATGTTATGATTACATTATATTACATGTTAACGTAAGCAATTATCACACTCGTGCATTCAACAGAGCAGGAAAGACCAATTAATTAATCGTTACGTGAGATCCTGCCATTGAATCGGATTACTGTGCAATATTTTGACTGACTCGCGTTCACGGTACATTGATCACATACGTACGTGGAAACGATTAATATAAAGTAAAATTTAATGTAAGGAATATTCAGATCCAGACTTTGAAGAGTGCCAAAATATATAATTCAGTCGAATTGTAATTTCAGTCTCACTAAAGTGAACTCTAAAATATCAACGAAAATAATCGCCAGCGGTTATGAAATTTATAATTTATTAAATTTATTTGAAATTTTATAAAAGATGAAACAGAGGCAAAATGGATGCATCGTATCGAGCAACTTACGACTCTTTTGTGAAAATCGGTAAATCCCAACGTTCGAATGTTGTAACATCGCGCAAAACGTTATGTATCCTCGCAAGATTTAATCCGCACTCATGTACCCAGGCATTAGTCTCGAAGCGGCCATTTAATTGTCTAAAAAAAAATCGTGCGTACGAGGAGCTGTTTTCCCGCGGAAAAGTCACGGGTTACGTGTTTAAGAGCTCTCCGATTCTTTTACTGTTATGTTTAGTCTTGCGTCAGTTTTTAAAGTGTCGGTGATGTAATATCGTGCACTTTCTCACGATACGAGCAGAAACGAGAGGAAAAGATAGAGGCGCGTGACTCTAATTTCCCGCCTACGCAACGCGCGCGCGTTGTTGATCATCTGACGTTCTCATCTGACGCGCGAAAAGCACGCTTGGGAATCCATCGGAAATATTTTAAGGACTAATTACCAGCCCGCGCCGAACGTGCATCTCTCGTTTCTTCAAGACGTCGCCGGTTTGTTGTTCTCGCTGTGTATTTAATACTGAAAACATTCTACGCGCAGTATCAATACTGCTTATGCGCCTCCCTTACAGAAATTTATTACTGGCTGTAATAAATTGGCCAGCGATAATAAGTAATTTTATTACTCGTACGAGTAATTTTATTACTCTCACAAGTAATTGTATTACTCATACAAGTAATTAAATTACTTATTATCACTGGCCAATTTATTACAGTCAGTAATAAATACTTCTGTTAGGGTTCCATTCGCTGTGAAGATAAATCTTTTATGTTTCCATATTTCATTGTTCGTTCGGCAGAAGTTGACAAGCTGAAAGCCGATAACCGGCACTATATTTTATTAATTTATATATATGGTATAATTAACGGTATCACGGTATAATTAACTGTATCAGAAAAATCATTCGTACAGCCAATGGAAATCTAATTAATGGAGCAAAAGATACATAAAAAATTTGAGCAAGAAAAACTAAGTCTCAGAGTTACACAAATTTTATTGCACAAACTGCGAACGAGTGAAATTGAATAACGATCTAGTTACATCAGTAATCTAACGTATAACTTTAAACAGCAAAATTCAATCAGTATTAATAAAATTAAAATGCAGCCGTATGTATGATATAGATGGCCTTAATTACTAAAAAGTTGATCTATATAATACGAAGAATCCTGCCTTTGATCAAAAAAGGTTAACTACATCAGATGACACACGACATAATGTGTTGGATTAGCCTTACGACCGTCCAACCAAAATTTTAATTTGTTTTGTACAAACAAGAACTTAAAAGAACATTAAAATTTTGCTGAAAGAATTAAGAAAGTTAATTTACTTAACTTTGAAGTCATACTGATATATCAATATTCTTAACTTAAATTATATATGCATGTACAGATATTGCACCCTATTTTAACTCCAAAGTTAGAAACTATTCTTTTTAGAATAAAATCTTCGGAAATTATAAACCAACTGTTGCACGTTACATAATTTTTTTGTATGCTTACGAAAAAAAATTGAGTTATAAAGAGTTAATTTGTTTCGAGTTTTGACTAATCAATAGAAACCAACACGCGCCAGTCAATGTGTTAAGAAATAATATCGAGTTTTGAATGATAATTTATAATCAATATTCTTACGGCAGGTACTGTTAGCGCTAATAGCGAGCATCAGCCTTGTACACTGCGAGCCACCCCTCAGCAATCAGTATGGAGTACCAGGCAATTTCGCAGGTGGAAGTCATCATGGCGGAGCGCAGGGTGGTGGGAACGGATTCGGGGGCCATTATGATGGGCACGATAGTCAGGATTACATAGATAATGAGGTATTTGTCGTACATACACACACATACATACACTCGAAGACACTGAGCAACCTTCGAGGCAAAGTCGCACGCATGATCGAGGACAATACGTACAGTTGGTCCCTTGCTCCGTTACGCTGTAATTTCCATCACAACCTCACCGTCTCTTACGTCTCTGTGGCAAAATACTCATTTTGCGAAATTCAATCCGATTCTTCCGTGGCGATAGTTGTCTGTTGCAGCGGGAAAGAACAATGGGTAAAAAGTACCGATTTTGACCCATTGTGGGGAACGAATAAAACACATCATTTAGGATTTTGACCTACTGAACACGATGCCATCGTTAGTTTTCCTCTAAACTCCGGGGAACATGTTCAAATCCGAGGATTCATCATTCAATAATCGAATGGCCCGGGAAGCCTTTGTATAAACTTTGAAGCTACGATATTGCAAACTCGTGTATTAGTTAAATTAGCTAAAAACAGTTTAGATTTTCGATTTAGAAATATTTTTGATTTAATAGTTGAAGGTGTTCTCTTTTTATGCAAAATTTGCTAACAAATAATATACACGGTGTCACAAATCATCCGTATCACTCGATTTGTTTGTAAACACGACGTTTTAAGGAAAAATGTTTCAGACAAAAGTTATTCAAATTAATATTGATAGAAAAAGATGATATAATAAAAAATTGGAGTTTTCCATTTTAAAAAAGTAACGATTAGTGAATTTCTCGAAAGTGGCGGCATCTGTAAACAAAATGATATAGTTGTCATATATCTCCTTTGAGACCACATAACTTTTGTCTGAAACATTTTTTCTCAAATGTCGCGTTTAGAAAAAATCGAGTGATACAAATGATCTGTGACACCGTGTATATTATTTGTTAGCAAATTTTGCATTAAAAGGGAATACCTTCAACTGTTAGATCGAAAATATTCCTAAATCTAAATATTCGAAAATCTAAACTGTCTTCAGCTAATTTAGCTAATACACGAGTTAGCAATAGCTTCAAAGTTTACACAAAGGCTTCCCGGCCGATTTGATTATTGGATGATAAATCCTCGGATTGGAACATGTTCCCTGGAATTTAAAGGAAAACTAACGACGGCATCATGTTCAGCAGGTCAAAATCCTATAGAAATGATGTGTTTTGTTCGTTCCTTACGATAGACCAAAATCGGTACTTTTTACCCATTGTTCTTTAAAGCTTTTTACAGATTTTCAAACGTGACGTGTTGCATTAAAAAACTTGACCACTTGAAAATTCGCGCGATATTATCTGATAAAACGTGATATTGGGCCTCGGCTCATCTATTTGCATTCGATTGTTAAACAGGTTTCAATAGCTGAGATCAGCTTACTTTGCGCAACGAGGCCTCAAATTGCACGAGCGTAATTAAGCCGGTTATCTGTTACGCAATTAAACGATGCGTGTTATTTTTTTCTGTTCTATTGCTCGCACAACTATTAGCCATAAAACGACCAACACGACAGGCAGATTCTTTCGTTCGTCGGAAGATCGAATGTCTTCAAAAAGTGACTTTTGTATTCGTAACTCCGTAAAATTTCAGGTGACTCACGATCCACCCAAAATTTCGTAGCCGATTCCAACACGCGTCGGTACAAGGTATATTGACAGGAAAAGAAGTATTATGTCATCAGAATAGACTTCCTTTGTTCGGGGAGTTCAATGTTACTTTCTATAAATCGAGATCCCTCTACTTTGTATCTTCGTAACGCCGATCATTCCGGCTCTTACGAAAAACGCAACCAGACATTCTCGAGGTCAAAGTTGAGAGTTGTAGATCTAGATCCAGTCATGTCCTGGAAGTAACATTGAACTTTCGGTATAAAGCAATGGTCGACTCGCTTGCGTAAACCTTGCCCGAAGAAGCACGCTTCAAGCTTGAACCGACTCCGCTTCATCTGAATGATCTCACGGTTTTTTGTTGGCAATGAATAGGTCCCAATATAGATCGCCGCTGTATTCCCGATGTTGTGTCACGGTTGATATTTCGTATCCTTTTACAATCACGATGCGATTAAGTTAAGTAACTCAATTCGCGTCGTGCGCGCGCACGCGCGCGGAGGTAAGCGCTCGCGGCGAATCAAATGAAATGCGCGGAGGAAGGGAGGGGGGAGGAACTCGCAGAATAATTAGCTCTCTATACAAGTTCACTCGCTCCCTACACACATGCGTCGTGATTAGAGAGAAAAATTACCCTAATAATTCCTTTCCTTTCCCTCTACTTCTTTTCTCTCTTTCTCTTTCTTCCGCGTGGACAAGTCATCGCTTTTCTCAACACACCTTGCATAAGCCCAATCGGACTCATTCGAGACCCCACGACCGCCAAAGGACGTTCGAATGTACCGCTCCTCAGTTATGCCCACATCAGACTACGTATTAGAGATTGCGAAGTACGGACTGAGAATTTGCGACTTGACCCAATTGAGACAAAGCCAGATCAGATCAAAATAAATTGACTCGTCAAATTTTGATCCCTTATCCGCAATCTTCAATTTCCCACATATTATCATCTGATATGAATTTTGACACTAAAACTACCAACAATTAACTAATTTCCAGTGGTCAAAATGGCAGCTTTTTGACAAAATACGTTTTATGCAGAGGTAAAAATGTTTATTTATTTCTTTTCATTTATATAAAGAAAAATATCTTTTTATTGCTCAAGAGAATAATTGTTCAGTTTATTTCTTTTATCTTTAGTAAAATATTTTTTTCTTAATAATAGCCTTAAGATATATTCACCACAAACTTTATAAAAATTTATTATTGTGTACTCAAAAAAAATTTATTTTCTTTCAAGAATATTATAAAAATTATACTTTATAAAAGAAGCAAGCCGAATGTTTATATTAACATAATATTCTTTTATTTTAACCCTTTGCACTCGGATGTCCCCTCTGAGGGGACATCGTAAGTCTAACAAATTACTCGAATGTCTCCTTTCAGGAGACATAAAGACTTTATTGGTGATTATATAATACATAATAAACTTATGTGAGCACAAATTTGTCAGAATAGCATGTTTTCTTGAAGTTTTCACTCAAATGTCATGAAAAATCAAATCAATATACGTTATATATACTGAGATATATGTAAACAAATATCAGCGGTGTTATGTAGAAAGAGAACGTGTAAAATGCATTCACAGTGATATTAACACTTCTCTAATGTCAACTCCTAAAGAAAGAAAGCATTTGTATAAGAAAGATAAGTGTGTGAGTACAACATTTCGTACAACATATATCAAGGAACCTGCAATGCATATCGATGACTGTTTCAAACGTTTCCACATGTTAGAAAAATATAAGATATAAAATTTTGATTTTTTTGTCATAAATATGTTCCTCAATATCTAAAGATTTATATAAACCAAATATCATTACAACAAATTACTTGGTTTCAAAACTACATTATTTAATATGACTCGATTCCTGTTTGTATATTTTCCTACGAAGGTGCCGCCGAGCTATTAGTAGATAATGCGTAAGATGGCTCCGAGTGCAAAAAGTTAATTTAATGTTTTTCCTTAAACTTACAAAGGGGAGATTTAAAATATGTTTAAGAAAATAAAGTTAAATATGGTTAAGCAAATTTGAGATACTTATAATGAACTTATGATAGATTTACGGATATATAAACTTATGAAATGCTTAAAACACGTAAAGTTTACTTAAATGTAATATGCATCTTTCAGCGATTACATCAATCTTGAAATCAGGTTTGCATATTTTGTCAACGTAGTACCGCGTCATCGTGTAGTCGCTACAAATTCGAGCCGATTGACGCGACGCAGCGACGATGTAGCGAGCGAGAGCGTGGCGAAAACGCGCTACGAATGATGTAACAATATTAATAGGGTGAACCGCGACCGCGGGCATAATTCACGGTAAATCGTTATTGCCGGTTAGCTAATCGTCCCGGGGATCTGCGAACGCTCACGAGACGCGCATCCCGCGCGGATATGCCCATCGATGAGCGAGCGAGAGAGCGAGCGAGCGAGCTAGAGAGCTACGTTGCTGCTGCCATTGATGCTGTTGCTGTTGCTGTTGCTCATGGTAGTGAACCATAACGACGGTGATGGCGTGGCATGAGAGCCAGATTTAATCACGACGGCTTCTTCCCAGCATCGTTTGTTCCACTTAGCCGACTGCAAGAAGGAGGAAAGCTGTCGTCTCCCCACGAGATATCGTCCATCGTCGCGAATATACGCGCACGCTCCCTGTCCACCTGATTTGCAGACTCGTCTAGTCCCACTTGCAGAAAGCGATTTTTTCACGCTTCCTCCTCGCTTCTCTTCCAGCCTAAGGCCTACGAGTTCGGCTACTCCGTCAAGGATCAGGCTACTGGCAATGACTTCGGCAGGCGAGAAACAAGCGACGGCGAAACCGTGCGCGGCGAATATAGGGTGCAGCTGCCGGACGGTAGAACGCAGATCGTTACTTATACCGCGGACTGGAGGACCGGTTTCCACGCCGACGTCAGGTACGAGGGCACCGCAGCCTATCCGGACCAGTACAATCAGCAGAACGGCGGCTACAACACCGGCCAAGGTTTCGGCTACCCAGGGAATAACATTGGCAGCGGTTACACTGGAGGTACATGGTGCAAATAGGATTTAATCTAGAGTCGAAAAGGTCACTTTTTGAGCACGCTGTGTGCAAACAAGGTCTAAAGGCACCCGATGCTCAACATGTCGACGTAAGAATGTCTGTTGAACGGAGAGTGTATTTTGCTAAAGCTGCAGGTATATTTTAATTGTGACATCTCAGAAACGAGAAGATCTTCGCGCGTGCTATTTTTAAATAAAAATATATTTGCGAGGAAAGATACTTCAAGTGGCTGGAGTCTATTTGTAAAATGCACCGATAACTGTACTTCTCCTTTGACAGTCAGTCTTAAGTGACAACCGCAAAATGACTATGATATGAAATTTTGATCATGCAAGGATTGAAAGCCTCACATTACAGCTATTTTATGGTTATTGATTGACTCAAGAGAACAGAATAGTTTTCGGAGCATTTTACTAATATGATATGAAGTGTTCTGGGAAATATTTTCTTTCGTATGAATATTTTTATTTGGGAATAGCACGCGAGAATTTTCAGCGTATCATTTCTTACTTCTGACGCCACAATCCAACATGACCGCGGCGAATACGCAGGAGCCTCGATTGAAGTGTATACTGTTAATTTATTGTTCATTTATGGCATGGATGTAGCAATTTGCAATAAGAGAAAGTTACATTACTTTAGGTCATTCCGAACGATTCACTATTCGATTCGTATATATTTTCCTTGTTTGAGTGAATATCTTATAACACATCAACAACTTACAATAACTTAACGTAAGAAATCCTTTCAAGGATGTTACGGTTGATTGCAAACGTCAGCTGGCGTGATTTCAGCGCGAGCTGACGTATATAGATGAATGTGCCCATAGAAATGATGGCGGAAGAGCTCGAAGTACCATAATCTTCCCTTACCGCTAATTAAGCCTTCCCCTCGTAAAATGCTCCATCCATGTATTCTTATATTGACAAGTCGATACTCATTGTGTGCGAATAGCGTGTTTAGATATCCTCATTTGTTAATAACTAAAGCGTAGAAGTAAGACATCATGACAACTAGCTTTGCGCCACGAAGCGGCAACTGTCTTACTTCCAAGCGTCCTGAACAATGACGTATATATCTAGACCAAGCGTTCCTCCCGCAGAGTGAAGCCGAAGTTAACGGTTTAAATCAGAATGAGAAAGTTGATTTGCTCTAATGCTTTCTCACTCTATCGCATAGGAAGGAAATGGCGACTGTCAAGTGCAATATAAGAATGAAATGCAAATCACAACGCCACAAATGCAACAGGAACTCATTTTTATTTTTATTACTCACCAGTACTTTTTTCACTCCACTTCAATATCAAGTAAAATTTTTTTCTCGTCTTTGATTATATCCTGTGCCTTTCGCCAAAAACTATTTATGAGTGTAAAGAGTAGAATATTAAGTTGTTATGGCACCATCGATGTCAATTAGGCGCCATATTGTTTGACAGTCAATAGGAAAAAGGGGTCAATAGGAGAAAACATTAAGGCAAATCAAGTTTCTCACTCTGATTTAAACTGCCAACTCCGGCTTTACTTCTGCTACAACAAAAGTAAAAGAATGCTTGGGTTAAGCATTAGTCCCGCAGGCTAAAACGGAATCTACAACACAGTCATAAAGTCTTAAGTCGTAAGGTTATAAAAAAAATTGATCAATCGCAAATGACTATTCTTTGAGCGCAAGAAGAATAATCGACTGCGATTGGTCAGTTTTCTTACAACCTTACGACTTAAGATTTTACGATATCTATTGTAGGCCCCGCTTAAGGATTAAAAGTAGCACGTTACTCACCAAAAAGGTAAATCATTACCGCATTGTTATTATTTATTTTGAAAAACAAAACTCGTTATCGTTATCAGGACGCAATAACCGTTATAATGACCGCTACTTTTCTTCAGCAAGTTTCAAAGACCTTCCTTTCGCAATTTCTCTCTTACCCCTATCCTACTTACCTCTCACATATCATATACACATGTATTCTGTTTATACAAAGTAACTAAAAAATAACAATTATATATTTTCATTACTGTCACCGTTACTAATAACAGAAATAACAATGTCACCAAATCATTACTGGAAAAAAAAGGAACGATAAGCGTTCCAAGTGACTCGTTACTTCTTGACTTTGAATTCAACATTTCATTTTGAACCCTTCCTTATTAAGGGCTGCAAATTCTGCCATGCGTCTCCGTTTATCAGTCCTTCGACAACTTTCGATTCAGTCATATATTTATGGATATTTACAGCATTATCCTTCTATTCATTTCAACATTTCGCATCTTGACAGGTAATCAAGGCGGCTACAACTATCAGTCGAGCGGTGGGCAATACAACAACGGCAACAACTACAACTACCAGTTCGGCTCCAACTCCATAGATACTTACAATAATTTCGGCGCAAGGAATACTTATTCGGGAACACCATCACCCACATACGGCCCCGCCTTCCATTAAAATACGTAGAATAGTATCATAGGATTACTGATTCTGCACGAGAATACCCGCTACCTTTTTTCAAATAAAGATATCTTTTCATAAAAATGTGTTGCATGCATTGCCTCAGTCCTTTCTCGATCTTGCTTCAGGTATACTTGACGCGCTCAAGATGAAGAACTGCCTTATCGTTTTGTTACTCATGATGACTATCGCGAGTTGTTCATTCGAGCAATGAAAAATCACAGTGACGTTCCCTGAACATTGCAGCATCGACTAATGACGCATCACGCTTCCGTTATAATTATGTACATGACCGGCGAGGAATCTCGACGATTATTCAGCCCCGTGGCGCACCATATTCGTCCTGCACTTATTTTGCATCTCGTATGTAATCCCGGAAAACAAATCGAACCGCTACCATATTGATCTTGCGAATATGCATCTTGTGTCTACGCTTTGCGCATATAACAATTATGCATTCGGAACCTTTACAGTTAGCTTTACTATTTCACTCTCGCTGAGAAACTGTCTCGTCTACAATTTAAACAAGAAAGTCGCGCACTGTCGTCAAATTCGAAATATATTTTGCATTTCGGCTCTGTGTCTCAATTTAATTAGCTTCGACTCGCGGCTCATTAAGCTGCCGTTTGTCATTTCTACATTAGGGGAACGCTTTCTAACGCGCAACGAGTAATCATTTGCGAAAGTAAGGCAGAATGCTGACGTTTTTTCTCTTATTGTGTCAAGTTCAGCGCTTAGATTACCTGTACAGTCAGCGCCATGTATGCTGTACCATTCCTTAAATCGAGTTTCGCGATTTCCAGCCTTCCATGTGCACACGTCAAAAGCGCCATAACTAGAACCATTATGACTCCACCGTTATAACCAGAGAGAGACTCATGTGATTTTTAATCATATTTATGCGTATATATGTAAGGCTGAGAATCGTAAACTCCGGCCTGAAGAATGGTATGGCGTACATGACGTTGACTGTAAGAACGCCGTTAGATGTTTTGCATTATGTCATGAGGAAGTTTACGTACACGTCCGCGGAGATAAATTTTCTCCGGCGTATGTAACATCTAGATTACACACTGCGAATTTCATTAAATCGCAAACACACATCGCTGCCATGTAAAAGTACCTGTTATTATGAATATATCACCGTAAAGCGACGTTAATAGCAGCTAATGGGGAGAATGCGAGACAAGCCGTGAAAGCAATTTATTTCGCCCGCACTCGAGATTACAAGGAATCTCGAAAAAAGAAGGATTCTTGAAGAGTTGAAGAGCAGATGTTATCGCTAAATATAACACTCGATATTTCGCTATCGCACGAGCTCGGGGGTTGAGGTGTAATAATAGAAGCGAAGGTGAAAGCGGCGACGCGGGTGTCCTTGCCGCGAGACCAGCAGAACCATCGAAAAGAATTCGAGCACGAGACGAATGGGATGGAATCGGAATGTTTGTTGTCGATCTCGCGTATATGAAAGATGTCCGGGATTCGCACAAGTTGTCCAAGCCGAACAAAGGAGCACGGGAGCATTCCGAACGTGTTTATCGGTTCGTCGGAGAAAGTCGAGCCGTGTGTATTTTCGCATAAGCAATTCGCGAATTCTAGAGACGATTAGGAAACACTTCGTTAGGAGATTCCTCTATTGGATTTCCTCCTCAATATATCCACAATAATATAATTCCTCCGCAGCGGGGTTTTTCCGCATCTAATTGGCTCATAAGCCAACGTCGAAAATCGTATGCAACAAAGAACACGATTTATTAAACTCGCACGCGCGCATGCTCCCAAATTATAGCGAAAATTTAAAGCGCAAAATCTCGCGATTTTGTCTCGCAGTCTTCCAACGGACGATTCATGATCGAGATCCGCATCAAAGTTGAAAAATATAATACTCTAATCAGAAAGAAATATTAAAAAAATGTTTTTAAAAATATTAACAAAACATTTAAAACATTTTTTAAACGTTAAAAATAATTTTAAATGAGTTTTATTAATATAAAATAAATATTAAGTAAACATTAAATAAAGGTTAAATAAATATTTTTTCTTAATCATCATTTTAAATGAAGAATTAATGTAAAATAAACGTTAAATAAACGTTATATAAACGTTAAATAAATATTTTTTTAAAACATCATTTCAAATGAAAAATTAATATAAAATATATATTAAATGAACGTTAAATAAATATTTTTGATATAACAAATAGAAGAAATGTAAAATAAATATTTGAAAAACATTAAAACAATATTATCTGCTGATTGGGACGTCACTATATATTATATATATAATATATAGTGACGTTAGTTATATATAAGTAGTAGTATTATATATAAGTGCAATTATATATAAGTAGTAGTTATATATAACTACGGTGACTATACGTCCTTTATGTAAGAGGACAGTTCTTTACTTCGCTGCTCTGTCTTTTAGATTTATTAATTTTTTAATGACCACTTCGTCCTTTATTTTGTCTAAAAAATATGATCTCCGTATGTACAACAAACAACACAAAGTCCTTAAAAAATATCTTAAAGACTTCTTATATATTTTTAGATATCTTTCTGGAGATCTTTAAAACATTTTTTAAAACTTTCTGCTGTCTGAGAAATTACATTTCTCCGATAACGACGTGGTAATAGAATTATTTTATCCCGTTGATAACGATAACAGTAATGCAATTATATTTTTTGGTAACGCTAATAAAAATATAATTATTATCTTTATCATAATTTTTCGTATTTTATGTATGTATATGGAATGAACAATGGTGAATCATAAAAAAAGTGTTCAGAATTTGATGGGAAAAGTAACGAAAATTGTAGCAACTTGTCATTCTTTAAATTTCCCGAAATGAGCGTTCAGTGAAAACAAATAAAAATTTATTTATTTTGAAACGATAATGACAGAGATACATGCCATTCGCGATCACACAAGAATGAGAATGTTGAAATCAAAGAGCCATGCATCAAGTCCATATTTCCATTTCAAATCGCATCACTGGACGGTTAAAAGTGGGAGAATTTACTCCGTATAAGTGAGAAGTCGCTCGACTTTGAATAACTTGGCTGAATCCTTACTCGCGAAATAAGATTTTCCTCGCAAAAATTTAGAAACTTACTTCTTCAATAACGACAATGTGCGGTGACGAGTTATTTTCCAAGATGAGTAACGACGAAGAGATACTTGTAAATAGTAACTTTCTCAATCGCGCAAGATGCGGTATACAAGGATACACACTTGTGCAAATCCACCTTCGGAATTTCAGGCTGGAGCACTCGATAGAATGAACGCGTCGAATTACGAAGTGCAGTATATTTGGATACCGTCCTGCGCAATTCACCCTGACTCACTTTGTACAAGTGGCAACTCACTTTTTGAGAGATGACATAGCTGGATCAAGACTCTCCGTCGAAAGCCCGGCGAAAAATAACGTCGCGCGCGCGCGAGCGCACTCTCGCGCATACAAATACGCGCAGGTATACGTGTAACACACGACGAGCCTTCCGCATCGCATGAAATATTACGTAACGCCATTTATCCCCGATTACAGAGCAAACGCGGCGCATCGTAGAGCCTTCACTCGGATGAGTTACGCGGTCACTTATTTGCACCGCGCGCGCGCATGCGATCTTACCTATCGATATTGCGCTCGGCGTCGAACATAATTAGTAATAATTTCACTGGGATTAATTAAGTGTCTTCGATCGACGAATCGATGCTGCCACGCGATATCGATCGAGCAAAAAACGGAATTGCGAGAGGAGTTTAACGTTTCGCAAATGGTTCAAGTTTTACTCAACGCTAAGCTGAGAACTGACAAATGTAGTATATTCTCGGTGGATAATGCGACCCATTTATTGTGTCCCTTGTCACCCACGGAGAGTGAGCGAAGCTTAAGACTGTGTGAGACTTTAATGAAGAATTCATTTCGGCGTTCGTGCGTGAGATTGTTAACGCAACAACTCGCACGAGTAGGCTGAAGCAGGAGATCGTGATGAATGAAGAGATGGCCCACGCACATGCCGGAATCTGACAGTGTTTGCGAAATAGCCGATTAATGCGATGATCGATGTCCCTGGATTGACCATGAAACTCGTGCTGAATCAAATTTACTTCACTGTTATCTTTATCTGGTTGTACAAAAAGAAAGAGGATAAAAAGACAATTACCGTCTCGTAGTACATTGAAAAACTTGACCAATGACAAGTAATGAAATGTAATTTATAAGGTTCTTAGGCTTGTACACGCGTGTAATCGGAGAATTCTTCCATTCCATGGACAAAACAGACTGTGAAACTCTAAAATAGTAAATAACCTTTTTTACGCGATTGTAATCGTAATTATAATTGTGATTTAAAATTCACGTGACGAAAGATACTGCCCAGGCAAAGCAGAAAATCATGATGACATCAAAATGACGTCAAAATGATGAGAAAAACTCATTTTTGCATCATGATTCGATCATTTTCTCCTCATTTTGATGTCATTTTGATGTCATCATGATTTTCTGTTCTGCCTGAGTGATAGATCTGAACTTAGAGTTTAGATTAGAGTTTCTCAATAGAATCGCACACGCTCAGCTTAATTGAAAAACTTAAATCTAATTTTAGATCTGAATATATGTGAAGTATATTATGTGAAGTAAATTTCAAGTAAGATATTTGGATTTGAATTTATTGTTCGATACGTGTTTTTCAGTTCAATTGCGATAACAAATATAAAATTAGTTTATTTTTTCTCATTACATTCTTTACGCTACCTTGCAATTTTTCCCTTTTCTTTTCTTTTCCTACTATTTATCAAGTCTCAACTATATATCTGTTTATATATGTTTTAAAGTTCCAAAAGTATATATTAATTTTGCGAAAAAGAATAAGCAAGAATGTCGCATATATTATATGATTTAATTATTAAGAGAACTCAAATCTAGATCTATATTCAAATCTGAATATTTCACACGTCAGATAAATTTTCAAAAAACAATTATAAATACATGTTAGAACGATATATAAATATCGTTCTAACATGTATTTATAATATAATATTTATAATAACTAAGCTATA